TTTGATGAACCCCATACCCAATAAAGACACATTTAACTGCCCTAGGTTCGAGCTTATTTCGAGCTCGTTTTGGTAAATGAACATAGACAACGCACCCAAAGACTCGTGGAGGTAAAGAATGGACTGATGGGATGGTGACATGAGAGGATAAGGTGGCGAGAGGTGTTTTGTAGTCAAGTGGTTTACTGGGAAGTCGGTTTGTGAGATAGGTGGATGTAGCAATGGCTTCTGGCCAAAAACTAGACCGGGACATGGGATTCTAACATGATAGCTCTGGTTATTTCAAGAAGGGTTCGATTTTTCCGTTCAGCAATCCCATTTTGTTGGGGAGTGTCTGGACACGTGGTTTGGTGAATCAGACCATGGTCAATAATGAATTGTTCCATATCTAAGGTTATATATTCCCCCCCATTGTCCGATCGTAAAATTTGTGGGTGAGCATGAAACTGAGTGTAAATCATATGATAAAATTTAACAAAGACATCAAACACTTCAGATTTATGTTTTAAGAAATAAACCCAACTCATACGAGTACAATCATCCACAAATAAAACAAAATAAGAATAGTTATGGAACGCAAATTCAGGCGCTGGGCCCCATACATCGGAATGAATCAAAGCAAAAGGTTCATAGGCATGACTTAAACTAGGATGATAAGTATGTTTATGACTCTTAGCTAAAACACATGCTTCACAGTTCAATGCTACATCAATAATTTTAAATGAGGGAAATAAACGTTTAAGGTAACCAAGAGAGGGGTGACCTAGCCGACGATGCCACATCCAAACTTGGTTTTCCGGTGATCCATGAGCAAGCAAAGCGTTACCCTGTTGAGCCACCTCATCCACATAGTACAAACCCCCTCGTTCAGTACCACGCCCAATGATCCGTCCTGTAAGAGCATCCTGCACAATACAACCAGAATCCATTATTAAGACTGTACAATTAAGCTCTTTAGTCAACTGACTCACAGATAAAAGCTTATGAGTGAGACTGGGAATTAAAAGACAATTATTTAAATGAATGTCCGAGGTAACATCAACGGTCCCAGCCTGGGAAACAGGAATATATTCCCCGTTTGCTGTTTGAATTTGGTTACGATGGGTGGTTTAAGTGGCTTCAATATCTAATGGGTCACACGTCATAGTGTCAGTAGCTCCACAATCAAAAATCCACGGGATAGGTCTATGACAAACGAGGCCAAAAGATTTTTGGTTTAAGCTAGGGGGCTGAGTATTTTCAACTTGGGCTCCTATTTTTTGTTTTATTGGGCTAAATTTATTTTGTGGGCTTGGGGTTTTAAGAGGGACGGTTAGAGGGTGAGAGGGGATGGGTTTTTTGTGGGTTAGGTCTTCTACCGTCCTTGCCTCATCCTTCCCATTTTCAATCCCTTTTTCCATTTTCTGCTCTCTACCTTCCTGACCACCATAATTCTCGGTGGTACTTTCTGCTTCCTCCATGCTTGCGATCTTCTCTGCGCAACCTTCCTTGCCTGAGTTTTTTCCGCCACCATCATTGTCAGATCTACTGGGGGTTGGGCTCGATTTCACGGCAAGATGTGCCCTGCCGCCAGTCTGGTTCACGCCGACCTTGGTGGCGGCCTTCTTCTTTGTGTATTCCTCCCACCATTCCGGATACCCGATAATTTCGAAGCACCCCTTTTTGGTGTGTTTCGTTCCTCCACAATGGGTACACTTTAGGTGGGATTTGTCTTCTCGCCGGAATGAAGATTCCGACCGGCGATTAGCAACGAGCCCACTTCCAATTTCTGAGGGATTTTGTCCCGGTGATGAAACGCCGGTCATTATCCCGCGACGGGCAATTTCCCGTCTAATGAATGCGTATGCTGCGTCAATTGATGGAAGAGGGTCCTGATTCAGTAAGTCCCTCTTCTCTTTGTCCAGTGAGTCGTTAACACCAGCCAAAAATTGGTATAATCTCTGCCTCTGTATAAATGAATTAAAGAGGGTAATATCTTCTGAGCACTTCATTGGGTTTTGCATTCTCCTATCAATTTCTTTCCAGAGGGTATTCAGTTTACTGAAATACACCTCTAGGTTTTCGCTTCCCTGCTTCAAAGATGCAGCCTTTGTGTTCAGATCAAAGGTCTGTAATTCGTCCCTCCCACTACTGAGTAGGGTTTCAATGCCCTTCCACAGATCTCGAGCATGTTTATAATCTAGGAATTGGTTCACTAGATCTCCATCGATGTTTTCGATGATCCAGGACAGAAACAATGAGTCCCTTTGTGCCCACTGTGCGTACTCCGGATCATCTGGTGGTACGGGGTTGGCAGTGATGTGATTGAGCCTTCCCCGGCCACTAATTGCAATTTGCATCAATTTACACCATTTGGTGTAATTCGTAAAATTCAATTTTTCAGCAACACGCACAGTTTGTGATGTCCCTGATTAAGTGTTTATTGGGTTTTTGTTTGATTTCTGGAACATTTGGAACATTTGTTCCATCTGTTCCATAGAAATCAGTTGGTTGTTGTTGTTGTTTTCCGGTGGTTCCCCCATTTCAAGGTAAGTCTCCAGTATATGATGAGGCTAATTTAGGTTTCGGTTTCCCGAAGATCCGAACCTTACGGCTCTGATACCATATAGAGAATTAAGCAGAATTGTGTTTGCAATTTTCTGTGTGTTTATTGCTGGTGATAGTACAAATATTTATACACAGAAGTATCCTGTAAATTAGGCAACTACTACCAAGGTTACAGCAACTACTACCAAAAATACAGCCTAAATATTTGCAGAATAAATTGGTCAATATTTAGTCCCTTTAATTAAGGAACTAATTATGGTTATTTCTACAGTAAGCTCTCAAAGAGCCGTGTGACCCTTCGAGAATACTGCGTGCTCCTAGTCACGAGGCCTTGCTTGATACTGCCGCTTGTTACTCTTACATACGGCTTCTACCTCACTCACTATATGGCACAAAATATAGACGGCATTATCACCGTTTGTGACCTTAAATGGAGCTTTGCCGTATGTATAGATAGCCTGGAAGTGAATTGTTGAATGATCCTCAAAATGCTACCCCTGCACCAGCTGACCATCTCACAAGAATTTCAAGCAAGATTTTGGAGGGAATCTTATTATTTTCCCACATGAGAATAACAAATGAAAAGCTTTAATTGTTATAGTGGGTTGCCACCTAATGCTCTTGAGTGGAGCTTTGCCATATGACAACTAGTTTGCTGTCAAAGTGTCATATGGCTGGCATTTTCTACTTGTAATGAGTATACGTAAAATCAGTAGTTAGGCGGCACCCTTTTCCTTTTATTTAATTATTTATTTATTTTTTTATTTTAAATATCAATATCATAATAATGATTTGATAATTAATAATAGCTTACAAGCCTATCCATACGACTCTTGGCATCCGACCGTACGACGCTTGTAGTACTTGGCTGTCAAGCCGAATGCTCGGAGGCTGCTATCTTGCCGGCTATACCCATTGAGTGTCATGCTAGGCGCATGTAACTCCAATTGGGGGTGGTTTAGACCTGGCCGGCTACTTATGGTGCTGCCTGTCTAAGCATGGGACACGTATGATCTCAAGATCTCAAGCGAGAGGGGGTGCCTCCCGTCCGGTCTTCATAACATGGCTTGGAACACCTCATTGAGGAATTCCGGGGACTGTCTTGGAAGTCGGATGTTGAGGCCGACTCCGACAGTTGTTGATTTTTCTTTTGCTTGATTATCATTCGAGCATCAGAGTATGTCTTCTTTGATCCATCTAGATGAACATGCCAGATAGACTTCTACTTCCCTGGTGAGGGGAAGCGATACTTAGTCAAATCGATCAATGGCTCCTACCTCTCCTTAGGTCTAGGGTAGGGGGTCGCCTCTCGATCCTTTACAGGCTTCTTCCTCCCAGACTGGGAGGGTCTTCTGGCCGACTGTTCCTTTGGTGGATCAGTCGCCCTTTTGTTGATAAGTTTCTGGATCTCCCCCTTGAAACTATTCATGAAGGTCATAAGTTCGTTTATGGTGATGGGGGCAGATCCCTCGACCGCCTGTTGATGATCAGGCGGCGGGCTGGCTGGTTTACTGGATCCAGCCGGGCAGTCCTCCCGTTCCCTCCTTTCAGTGGGACGGGTGTGTCGAGCTCTTAGGGTCTCGTCAGAGGCCGTGTGAGTCTCGACATCGATTTCATTGTCAGTGTCCTGGTCTGACTGAACCAGGGGTCATCTATGGGACGCTTCTCACTTAGAACTAGTACAGACTGTGATGCCATCTCGAAAGTACTCTACCCACAAACGACGCCAAAATGTTTCGGGGTTTTCTGATGTCCTGCGAGAGAGTTACAATTCCGGGACTGGTATCCTTGCGCCTGTGCCTGCAAAACAACGGAGACTCCGTGTGGTGGGAGCTCCGCCTCCGACGATCAAGTTAGTACTTGTTTGAGGAGTAAAAAGTGCGGAAAGTAAAGAGGGTGATCTGGTTCCTCGAAGGGGAGGAGTGATCAGGGAGTGCAAATAATGCTAAGTCTGGTCTAGCGATTAGTATGCACGTGTGTTTAGGTTTCTCTAGGTGAGATGATTCTCTTGTTTAATGGAGGCTAATGACCTGTTTATATAGCCTCAAAGTACGTGCCCAATACTAGGTTTTCTTGGAAAACCAAGGACTGATAGGGCTTGCCTCGGGATTTAGGCCTTTGGCGGCCGCTTTCCAGGTTGGCAGATTATGGGCCACATGGCGTGGCTTGATTAGTCCATGTTGGACCTCTTAGGGTGACAAGTGGCGGACGCTGATTGGCCCACATGGTGGACACGTGACAGGTCCGAATTGGTCCAATTGTCATGGGTAATTTTACCCTAAACACATATGATTAGAAAAAAAAAAGTTGAATACCTACTTCCTTAATTAATTGAAAGTTGGGAACCTAAATCATATCTTAACTCAGTCTCCATCTGTTTCCTAACATTTTGCATTCCCCACATTGCCCATTCATTTAACATGTGAAATTACACAACTTACCCTCGATAAACACTCCAGGCTTATCAAGGAGATAAATATGAATTTTCTCAAAAAGGAGCCTAGGAGTCTGGGCCCCAAACATCACCATGAACTCAAATTCATGGTAACCATTACCCGTCATCCTTCGGTGGCGCTCTTCTCTTCTTCCCACCATTTTTCGTCGTCATTTGCTCCGCCCCACCTTCATCCGACGAGGAGGAGAGAGAAAATTACGGCGGCGTAGGAAAATGGCAACAAGAAAAGGGGAGAAGTTCTCGGCGGATTGGATAATGGGAGGTTCGGCGGCAGTGGTGGCGAAGACGGCGGCAGCACCGATTGAAAGGGTTAAATTGCTGTTGCAAAATCAGGGTGAATTGTTGAAGAGAGGTCGTCTTCATACTCCTTATATGGGTGTTTCTGATTGCTTCAAAAGGGTTCTTCGAGAGGAGGGTGTTCTTGCTTTTTGGAGGGGAAATCAAGCCAATGTCATTCGTTATTTCCCTACTCAGGTCTGTGATTTTTTAAAATTTTGTTTTGAATTTTCATGGGTTTTTGCTGGAATTGGAAATTAATTTGTGGGTTTTGTGATTTTTTTGGTTGATTGTTATTTTGTTTAAATTTTGTTTGTTTGTTTTCTAGATTTTATAGGGTGTATTGATTAATGTAGTTAAAAAAATTTGAATGGAAAATGAGGATGTGGGATATTTGTGTTACTTTCAGTTGATATTCACTAAGTGTTAATGTCATTGTTTTGTGGGATTTTTGTAAATAAGAATATACATTATGGAATTTGGTGTCAATTTGAAATAAGAATGTGGGTATTGCTCTATATTACAGCTTACTATCGGCATTGTAATGATGTGATTATGTTGTGGGATTATATTTGAATGAAGGAACAAAGGTTGATTTTTGTTTGGAAAGAACAAAAATTGATGATGTGGGTTTTGAGGGAAAAGAGTGAAAGCTAGGTAACAAATGTAGGGGATCATTGTTTTAGCATTAGATTGCTCATGAAATGGGGCTCTTCGTAACCTATTGATTGGAAAATAGTGAAAATAAGGGAAACATGTTAAGATTTTTCAGTCAATGTGCTAACAGGTTGATCGGAAAAGAGTGTAAACTTGGGGAAAACATTATTGAACTTTACTCAGTATTATATTTGGTATAAAGGAATTTCTTCTTAAATAATTTTATTTAGATGTGGATTAGGCCTGGTTGAAGCAAGGAAGTGCTGCTCAGAAACTAGTATGACAAAAGAAGATTTGAGCTTTGCTATTTGACATTGAATTTTATGGCCTGTTTCTGTTATACATATGCCTGCTCCTTGATAATGTCTTACTATTAGTTAAGGTGGTTTAAAGGATAAAGTGCTGATTACTGATAATGTGATGATAAATAATTTTTTTTTCCAGGGACATTGTTTCCCTTTATTCCAAAACAATAGGCCTCTATCTTTATTAAGTTAATCATTGTTTTATTTCAAAAATTTTTAAATAACAAACAACATAAGCAGTTTACCATTGGCTCAACTGAAAATGGGTTAGAATTCTCCTGCAAATTTTCAATATTTTCGGATTTAGTCAGTTGGAAGTTATGAGCCACTAAATTGTTTTCAAGACTTTGTAGAACATCTTGAATAAAATTCTTAATGAAATTCATCAAACCTCTGTAAAGTAACAAAGCTTATTGGACTTATATATAGCCTGATTGCCCTGAACCCTGCTTGGAGAATAAAATAAATCATCTAATTTCCACAAGTACTGGTTTTTACTTGTAAGAAACCAATATTCTTGAACTTACAAAATTTGCATGTTAGGTTTATGGCTGGTATGGGATTTAGTACCTTATATTTGCTTGAGGGATTCAGCTCAAATTGGGATTATGGGTAACATACTTACATACTAACATTTATGGCTTGATTTCTGAAAAGCTTCTGGTATTGAGGCTAACAAAATAACTCAAATTATTTCATACTTTTTCCTTTTATGGCCATCTACACCACCCAATTTCTTCACATTTGTTTTGGCTTTTTGAGTCAATATTCAAGCCAGTTCAAATTTTGCCAACTCTGGTTGCTAGTATCTGAAGGGAGTAACCAAATATCTGTTTGTCCTTCCTGTTCTTCTCCTAGGTTGTAATTCATGCACAAGCAATTGTTTCTAGCCTTTCTACCTATGCAAAATTTTCCTTTTCTTGGAAATCCACACAAAAAATAAAGTTAAGCTATAAGCAGTTTTAATTTAGATATGTAGATAATGAATCTTACATTTCTTACAATGATCATCACCTGTTTTTATCTCATATTCATGTTTTTGAATATGGTTGGAGTTTTCTTGGAATAACAATCATTTTAGTAGTAATGATGAAATTGGAGTTGAAGCATGTTTGCAATACTTCATGTTTTCTAATTCCTATTTGTTTAAAAGATAGAGAACTGGAATTTCTGATGTGTTCTATTTCCTATATGTTTAAAAGATGGAGAATTGAAATTTCTGATGCTATGCAGGCTTTCAACTTTGCATTCAGAGGGTACTTCAAGAGTCTTTTTGGACGTTCCAAGGAGAGAGATGGCTACTTGAAATGGTTTGCTGGAAATGTGGCTTCTGGAAGTGCTGCTGGAGCAACAACTTCAGTCTTTCTCTATCATCTGGATTATGCACGTACACGACTTGCTACTGATTCTCAGGGAGTTTCTATGAATGGACAACGACAATTTAAAGGATTGGTTGATGTTTACCGCAAGACATTGTCAACTGATGGAATTGGAGGGCTTTATCGAGGATTTGGGGTATCAATATTTGGAATTACACTTTATCGGGGTTTGTACTTTGGGATATATGACACTTTGAAGCCGCTTATTTTGATTGGGCCTCTTGAGGTTGGTCACTTTTTTTTTTTTTTTTTTTTTTTTTGCCGAGTATTCTATTACACATTTACACCCTTAGCTGTCTGCTTAGTTTTATTTTACTGAAAACCTTTGCAATGCAGCATTAATTTTGCTCCGATTGGGTTGACGGAAAATGTTAATGCCTGGAACTTTAACAATCTTGTTAGATGTCAATTGTCAAGTGGCAGAAATCATTCGTATTGAATGTTTGGTGGACCTCTCTTTTCTTATTGTTTTATGGTTAATTAGTTTAAATTCTTTTGTTCATCTTTCTCCTGCCACCATGGCACCGTTATAGGTAGCTGTAATGATTTTCTCATGGTATTTCTATTGAAGTAAGATCTATACAATTGAAAGGAGAGAAGCCCCAAGGAATTTGTTTCTTGTTGCCATTCTTTTTGACAAATGTTTTTATAGACATGTAGTGCACACTTCTTTTTTGCTGTTGCTAAAACAAGGTCAAAGGAGAGTGGTTTGTAGAAATTTTGTAAAAATCTCTTTTGCAGGTGCAGTCATTGCTTCTGCTTAATATTTGAGGAAAAAAGAGTAGGATTAGGCCTTAAAGAAAAGAAATAAAGATAGTGGAAAGTAGACTGGAGAAATAGAAAATGAGTTTTAATACAGAAAGGAGATAGAATCTTGATACTGAAGCCCCATGGTTGGTAATGCTCTATTGGAGATAATAATATAGAAGTTGTGGTAGACCAAGAATGACTTGGATGGAAGGGGTACCATGTGTTGAGGATATGAAATTAAGGTCTTCATGATCATATTATGGAATGCAATAGGAGTGATTGCAGGAAAATTATTAATGTAAGTGACTCGTGGAATGACATCTTGCTCCATGTTGGCAAGGACCATCCTTTTAGGATTGAGGATTTGATAATGTTTTTGGGTGGATTGGGCCTCTCCCCAAGTTAGACACAACATAAACATGTCAAAAAAAACCTTTGATTACCTGACCTAGTTAATTAATCTTGGATACTAACCCAGACTGTTTTATATACCGGGTAGTTGTGTTGACCTATTTAACTTTGTTTAAATTTGAAACATCAAGAGCATTCAAATAACGGATCACTCTCTCTGTCTGATTATGCTATATTACTAAAGTAGTTCTGGTTTAGCTAACTCCTAACTTTCTCGAGTATACTGAATTTTTCAAGAAATAATTCGGACTAATCTATCTCTTATTTTTACGTTGTGTTAGAATGTGGTTCGTAATATTTTCTACTCCCTCTGTCCACATATAAAAGTCCTCTTTGCTTTAAGTGTGAAAATTAAGAGTTTTAATCAGGAGGGAAGCTTATGGTAGACTGTGTAAATGTAACAAGAAATTATGGTAGATGATACTTTGTAAAAAAGAAACATAAGCTCTTTTATGGGACCCAAATCACATGATAGAATTGGGTGAATTTTCTATGTAAAGTAATTAGGACTTTTAGAAATGGACATCCAAAAATAATATACCAGACTTATACTTGTGGACAGGAGTATATTTTTAAGTCATTCAGGTTGTAATATATTGTATTTGTGTTTGAAAACTCATCACTAACCATACCCATTATCTTCATCTTATCATATACTAGTACTACTTTATTAAAGTATGAATTCTTATTGCTTTTTATCCTTGGATTGTTACAGGATAATTTCTTTGCTTGCTTTTTCTTGGGTTGGGGAGTGACAACTACATCTGGTATCTGTGCCTATCCATTTGACACCGTGCGACGGAGGATGATGCTTACATCTGGGGAGTCTGTAAGGTATTCTAATGCATTACATGCATTACGTGAGATTATTCATCATGAAGGGTTTTCTGCTCTTTTCCGGGGTGTTACTGCAAATATCCTTTTGGGTATGGCAGGGGCTGGAGTGCTAGCAGGCTATGATAAGTTGCACCGTATTGCTTATGGACATGGTTATAGGTTCGAGCCTTACAATAAGTTGTGAAAATGAAGTTTATAATATTCTTGCTTTTGTACAGCTTCAAACTTACTTAATTGTATCCCCATTGATTTTTCACAAAGGGATTCAAATCATTCAGAAGGAAAAATCACAGCCAAAAGTGTAGGAATTATAAGTCTCGTACTCATTGAATGTTCATTATTGATGCCATCAACAAATGTTTGTTCATAATGGCAATCCCAATTGTATCAACTGTATAGTTTCACCAGATCATATTAATGTAACTGCTTCTCTTTTATTCCTATGTGTTCAAATGCTTCCTTGTTCATGTTAGTATAATCTGGCCAATTCTGTTGTGGAAGAACCACAATGTTCTGAAGCAGAACAGCCTGTCTGGTGATGCCTGATCTTTGGCAGGGCTTTGGGGTTCCAATCTGTTTCTTCTGCTTAGCTCTAGTACTTACAGACAGGCATCAGGCTTGATTATACTATAGTTTACTTATAATATCCGTATTGCTTTCTTCATTTCACAAGTAATCTATTTTTTTTTTTTTTTTTCTGTTGAGTCATGGGGTCCATTATGACAACATCTTCTTCATTTTTGTTTCTATTTTGTATAAATGCTCCTTTGATCAATTAAGGTCAATCTGAAGTCTGATTTATGGGATGTTAATGTCTTGTTTCTTTCTCTCAAAATTATCATTTTGTGTATTATTGCTCCTGGTAGACTTGATTCTTGATTAGTCAGAATCTCATGTTATTTTTTTTGTTTAATATATATTTTTTTATTAATTTTTTTTTTTAATCCAAGCTTCTGGTCCTCTCCTTTAGATAAATTTGTGAAGTATTTATTTATTGTGTTCCTCTCATTCTTGATCACTATTCACTGGTCCGTATAAAGCTGATTCTACAACTAGTTTGAGATACATATACTTTCCCAATGTGATGTAAGAAGGGCAGGTTTCAGATACGAAATAGCATGACTTCATTTTCAGTTACAAAGAGGTGCAGTGCAACATATTTGTCTTCATACCAAAAGTCCAGAAATGTCAGTGATTTTTGGTACACTTACTACACTATCAAGTATAGATGTCAATGGACAATGGTTTCAAACTTGTTAAGGGTGGAGCATTTTGCGGTGTCAAGGTGGATTTCGTAGCTTCTTATTGGTGAATATCCTTCTTTTGTGCCTACATGACAGTATAATTGCTAGTATTACAGCATTTGAGATGAAAGGTGAATTTAACTAGTACTAAGGTTGGAGTTTCGTCTGTAGCATAAAATAGTACTTTATGCTTTTCAGTTGTAAAAATATTTTTTAATTTATTTTAATTCTGTTCTCATAACACTTTAAATTAATTATGAGTTTTACAATGCAGTTTTTTCTGGCCATCTGGGTGTTGAAGGCTTCACCAGACTATTCTTCTGGCATCCTCATCTCTGGTATAATTGGTCTAATCTTTGGGGAGTCTGTCTTTACATATTTTTCTTATAACTAAGATGCTTTCTTATTCACTCTCTCATTTTCTGGCTTATATATCCTAACTATCTAAAGTGTTAAAGGCCCATATTGATTATACCATATTAGTACTTCTTGAATCTTGAGGCCCAGCTTAAGGCGCACCCCCTGAGGCGCACAAAGATTTTATCAGAAATATTTTTATGTTTATTATGTGCGCCTCACTTCAATGAGGCGCACAGAGGTGCACCTTAGGTGCAAGGAACTCTGAAACACCTTGGTGAGCCTTGAGCCTTTTTATACATTGCTTTTGAGTTCTTATATGTATGATGGTAATGCAGAAGCTATAGGTCTTTAATAACCTAACTTTCAGAGACCTTACCTTATTGGAGAATGAGAGTGATTTATGTCGAATTCATACTCTTACCCACCATTCCAGCCTCACAAATCTTTGAAACACATGAACTAGATCTTCTTTTACCACACCCAGAAGACCTAGAATGACAGTTGAAAATTTTGATTTTTAGGAATTTGTGTTTCTACAACATTATGGCTCTTCTTATAGGGCCTTTCTAAACAAGCACTTATAGTACTTGCAAGTTGCAATAGGAGATCAATGGGAGTGATGTGTTTACTATTGGATTTAACTCTTTTTAACCTCCTAAGCAGCAACCAAAGAATTTGTGGCCTTTTGGGCAAAAGTTTGTGCCAAAAGGAACATTTGGCTTGTTGCTCTTGACTGATCCTCTTGAAATCATCGTTTTCACCTGTATCAATCTCTCTAACAACCAATAATGGGTTGTAATGTTTACTACTTCTTTCTACAATATACAGTGGATCCAGATGAGTGACTAACATGGCCTAGAAGCCTGGTCTGAAATGTCTCCAAAGCCCTAAACACCAGCTGCGAAAGAGTCACTGGTGATAGATGGCAATGCAGAGTAGCAGACCCCACAACCCATTAATTCCCACGCCCTAAGCTCCAAAATCCTAGTCTCTGACTCTCTGGTATTGAAAATGAGTTGCACATTGATGAATCTTCAACTATTAATGCTATGCATAGTCTCTGCCACAAACAAAATATGACTACCCCCTTCAATTTCCAAATCTGATGGTATATTAGAGGTCATAAATTGTTGAAGTGTGAGGATCATAAGGAATAGATGGAGATGTTTCTGTAGGGTTTACAGTATTTTTTTTTTTTTTTTTAGCTAGCCTAAACAAGTAATTTTTCATAGCCTACAACAGAACAATTAGTAGATAAAGAAAGGTTTCAATACTGAAATAACTAATGGGGAGGAAAAAAAATACATAGATACTGTACTCAAGTCCTTGTATACATATAAAACAAATATCCAGGATGAGCCTCTTTGGCATTTTGTCTGACTCCACATACCTAATTAAGGCCAATTCCATTTTACAAAGAAATGCTAGTAGAAAATTGTTATGATCCTATCTTTACAATCCTATCTTCCTTTTCTAGGCTTCTAGCGACATAACCGATTACACAACCTGACCACAAAGAATGTTGATTTCTGTAATCCCATCTGACTTATTTTCTCTGTAAAGTAACATGAGAAGTTTGCTGGTAAACCTGCTTTGAATTTTGATTTCTGTAGCTGTCAATCTGTTTCTGACAGTTTTCTTGATAGAAGAATGATGAATCCAAAGGTCCCATTGATGCTCTCAAGGATAGGTACTGTTTGGCCAAATATCAGCTATATAGTAAGATTGAGTAGGTAATTTACAGATAAGAAAGTTCTTTGTGGCTAAATTTTAACTACACTGGCCTTGTTGATGAAAAAATCGAGAGGATAGGAGTATAAGGACATATGGATTTATTGTTTCTCTTGACCCATAGGAAAGAAAATGACGAAAAATAAACTTAGGTTCTGAACTGCATTAACACTTCATATTAGTAAAGCAGAACTCAATTTTGGATCTTCTGAGACCTGAGTTATATCTGTCATACTTTCAGTAAGAACAATTGGTTTTTGACTGGTTCATTCTTTAAATGTAGGTAGCATTAGCTTAATTTTCAATTTAATTACTTTAATAGGAGTCATAGGAGTATCCAAATCTCTTATAGAATGCTTGGTTAGGGTTACCAAGCCTCATATTAGTGAGGCTAACCTTTAATGGGTATCTGAATTCAAAGTATATTTAGCTATCAACTTTCTTTTTGATTTTATACAAGTATTTATTTTAATTTTTGGAGGTTATAAATTTTTTATTCAAACTTTGTTTCTAATGTGAACTGCACATAGCCTAAACTTCATTGATTTGTCATTGTTCTTAGAAATTTTCTTTGGTTCCTAATAGAAATTTGTCAGATTTCGGTTTGTGCTGCTCTAAAACAGTTGGTGATGCTCTTCAAGCATGATTATTCTCTTATGATCTTATCTTTGTTGTATAGTCCTATTTACCTGGTTGATTCTCTTGATCCCCATGTATATATTTTGTGCACTTGTGAGTTGTCCCATGGTGGAAAAGAGAGAATTAAGTGCCTTAAAAATTGATGCCTTGCTCCTCCCCTTGCCAATTATTACAGATAAAACCTCTCACTTAAGTTTGTAACAATTCTCTCTTTTTTCGTGAGTGTGCAGGGTCCATTTTATATCTACTTCCAAAATTTAGCTTAGTGTTAAATTCAAAGTTGGTTTTATGATAAATTTGGGCCTTTGATCATGCAAATGTTCAACCCCAATGACGATAGCTATTGTTTACCTTTCTAGTTTGCTCATGTATAAAGCACACTTTGATTTGAGGGGGCAGGGTTGCGTCCTAAATAGATGTCTTGTGCATTTGAGTTGTCTCACGTCAAAGAAGAGGGGAAACATAACCACCTTATAAGCCTAGGGAGTTATTGTTGCCATGGTTAATTGGTTCTGAGATAAAACTAAATCCAGCTTATAAGTGGTCAGACGTGCTTCATGTCTCGTTTTAAAAATTTAACAGATAAGTGACCTGAGCCTTGAAAGTGAGACATTCACTTTTGAATAGAGTGACTATGGATGAAATTTTCAGATTTACAATTATAAAATGATTTATGAACACCAAACCCCCTTTAATGGAGGCCAAACCTTCATTGAGCCTACTGTTTTTAAATAAGAAAGCTAGGCCAAGAGCCAGAAATTCTTATGACGCTTAGTGGTAATCAAATAGCCACCTAGTTTTTTGCTCTTCCTCCTTACAGCAACTGTCATGCAATCGGCATTTTGGATGCAGTAATCCACAACGCTTCTTTTTCTTCCTGTCCATCTCATCCAAAATCTCCATGCCTTTGATCGTTTTCTATGGCCTAGTACCAGTAATGATGCCTTATGTTCCTTTGCTTGGCTCACTATTGTTGGACCTTTCTCCTTCCCTGCAAGTGCTACTATTTCCACCTGTACCTGCTCAGTGAAAGGAACCAGATTGATGCCGTTAGAGCTTGATTTGAGGTTTGGTGTATCACTCAGTTTGCTACCCTTTAAAATTGTTATCTGATAAATTCTGTGACATTAAAGTTACAAATCTCATGGAGCTTGACAGTTCCATTGTACACTTTCAAAACAATATGATGGTTTTGATCCTCATAATAATCTATTAGTTCTGACATTTAACTTTTTATTACTCATTGATTTATTGTGATATATATTACCAAGTTTGATCTGTTAAACGTTTTATAATGAGGATATTAGAGTGACATCTTTCTGTAGGTCAATTCTTTTTGTCTTTACATAAAAAACTTAGTATCTTTCTTGATTCTTTTGTGTTTTTGTTGTGAATGTGTGATCAGTGTAAATCATACTATACCAATTGATTAGAGTAATGTGACATACCCCAGGTCTTCTGGATTGGCAGACGCTTCTCAGAGAGTAAAGAAGTCCATAAGCTTTTGGATCAATTTCACTCTCAGTATGTGAATCTGCATTGGTAAAAAATTTGATATTAAGACAAACTTGCTCTGCATTTTAGTATGCAAGTTTCATGAAATTAATCTGTGACTTTAAAAAAATTCCCCCTCCTATAAATAATATATTATGTATTATGTTTCTATTTCAGACCGTCCCAAAATTATAGGTCACTTTTTACATTACGAATTATGAAAGCTGAACTTTGAACTACATTAGTATGATTGAGATGTAGACATATGAATAGAAATGGATAGTATTGATATTCTAACTAGTTTTCTTAAATTTGACAATTCAAATGTGACTTGAAAGACAGGATGGAGATGAATTTACCGCATTTTGTTGGCTTGGCTAAATGAAGAAGAATAACAGTGTCCTCCTTTTGAACAGTATGGGATAATGCCCATTGAAGAGCACCCTTAGCCTGTAAGGTTGCATCTACAACGATCATGATTCTGTTTCCCTCCTTTGGCTCACCCTTTTCAGAGCTTTCTTCACTGCTGAAGCTCGATCCACACTCATTTTCGAAGTACTCACTCTTGCCACTTTTAATAGAATTATAAGCTGGATTGGATTGCAGCGGTGGTGAACGAATCCGAGCTTTACTTATTTTAAAGCAAGATCCCGGAATTTTGGTATGTACTCTCACCATCCTCTCTTTTCTTTCTGAAGGCAATGACAGTACACAAAAAACTTAAGGTGTTTTCAGATTTGAATATAACCAACAAGAATGTTCAGAAAACTATACTTTATATAGTTATATTCTTATATATCTGACAAAGGGGACATAATCTGTTGATTAATAATAACTCATATCATAATTATATGGTATATCTTTAGAAGGGCTAAGTCAACTTTGTAAGTGAAATGACAGAAAAGGACAGAATGTGGTTAGGCAGTCATTTAGAGGCGGAAGACGTGCTCACCATTGTGTTTAGATTCTCTGAAGACTTTGAGACCCCATTGTTTAAGTTAGGGTGTGATTTTCTTGTTGGTGAATTTTGTTTTTATAGGGTATTTTCCTTAATGTGGGACATATCCCATTAATCGTGCTAACCATGAAGGTATTTAGGTGTTAAGTGCAAGTCCCACGCCTGCTAAGATTTCTTAGTTGTATTGATTAGTTTTGGGGTGTTGCATTGTTAATTTCTGTATTTTTTTTTACCTTTCGTTGATTTCCAACCGTGTGATGTGCATCCTACTCCGTCTTTAATCTTTTATATTCGCGGGGTTTTCTAATCCTAATCATAGAATACAGGATAACCTTAATTATCTTGGTAGCAACCTACTGATGTTTTTTTTTTTTAAGGTTAGGACTTTCATTCTTTCAACTTGGTACATACAGCAGAACCACAGCTCGGATGAACTCGATCTTCTAAAACTCACACGTAACCGTCTTCTTTAAATGAGGGTGGCTACAGACTGTTTGTTTGGTGTTTGTTCTAGCCTTTAGTTCAGACCTAAAAGAGGACTAGTCATGGTCAGCTATTGTCTACAAATTATGTGGACCGTTTCCGGGCCCGAACTTGGGTTGGATAGGTGCCAAATCAAAGTCTGTTTGTTGCTTCAATTTTTACCATCCTTCCCACCTTACCTTAGCCTTTTAAAACTCGTGCAGAATTATCTTTATTATTGAATTTGATTGACTTCCAAAGCTTATACACCTTCGTGGTGGGCAGGAAAGATAATTTAGACAAGCAATAACAGGTCGGGTCAATCACTCAATTGTGACTTATTACACACAGGCACACAGCAATAGCATGAATCAACACAAATTATCATTGTAAAGATTTGACTAAAGTGTAGAACCTTACTGAATTGTTTGGATTTTATCTAATTATTTAAAGTTTAGTAAATGAATAGTTATCTCATTATTTTAGCTATTTCATTACAAATTTTCTAGGTAAAAAAGAATATTAGATTTTATTTTGTTTTAAGAGCCGGTTTAGTATGTATTATGTATATTGTTGTTTCTTTGGTTTTTTCATGTATTTTTTTCTTCTTTAATTTAAAATTGTATGAACATAAACAAACAATTTTATGAGACGGCAGCACCTAAAGAATAAGTATGGCAATTTAAACTATTTTTAATTTTCTTAATATTGAGTGCTTGAGTCATGAAAAATATAAAACAAATGCACTTGCACCTACATTGTGTAAACCCTGTAGAAATGTGCACATGTGAGACAAAGCCACTCAACCACCAAATCAAATACTAGTACCAATTTACTCTTTAATATTGATTTTGGCACTCTTATGATTTATTTTAACACCCTTTTTTTTATAAGTAGTGCACATCCGTGTTCTCGTAATGGGAGTTAAACTTAGATCTCGTGTTTAGTGTACTATTAAACCATAGAAATATATTTATAAATTCTAATAACATTATAAGCAATTAAAATAATACGTTGAACACCGTAGTTATTTTAATTAGTGGATAGAGAACAAGTGCCCCTACCGGGTATGGGCAATAGCTCTACCATATTTCGATTAATGATTTAAAATGGCTCCAAAAAAGTCAACTTTGTTAAGCCGTCATAGACTAACACTAAACTTGCAAATTCATATTCACACAATCGTTCTATGCACCTCGGAAGGCCGGAATTGAAGAACAAAATAATAATAATCAATTTATGAAATAGTTGATTGCCAATGCCGGCTTATCCGAGCTGTATCTAAATTGAGTGATGATTCTTATGAACAACATTAAATGAAAAATGACTTGCTTTTATTCCATCTGTCTTCTCTTCTTTTCTTTTCATGAAAATTCCTCATATAAAGTGATACTTTTCCACAATCAAGTCAATAACATTATAAACTGTCTTGTAATTGTTGATTTTTGGGCATTTGATTGAGATTGTTTGGAAAAACACAATATAATTTGTTTGGCAGTTTTGCGTTATGCGAATAAGGATCTACTGTACTTTATCTTTATAACTTTCTCTTATCATTATTTTGTCAAAATAAAAAGGAAATTTTGCAAAATAACACCACAAAAAAAAGCCACGATTTTGATTATAACACCCAAAAAAAAAAAACCAAAATTGATTTTACCACCACATAACGGATTCTTGGATGGAATCCGTTAGTGGAGCCTAAAAGACACGTGTCAAGTGTCTATTGGTTTAAATGAATAAATTAATAAAAAATAAACTTACCCCTAACCCAGCCAGCCCCACCACCAACACCACCTGCCCCAGTTGCCGCCGGAACCTTTTGCCTCCACTAAATTCGGCGAACCAGTCCAACTTCCACCCTATAACAGCTGACTCCACTGCTTCTCCCCTTCCCCCTTCCCGAAAACCACCCCAAGCCCATCAAACCACCGCAAAACCAACCTGACCACTGCGCAAACCCTCCTTTCCTCCACCCTTGAAACGGCCAAATCGGCCATGGTAATCGACCATTTTGGGTTTCCATGGTCGATTTCGGCCGTTTGAAGGTGAAAGGTTCCCATGGTCCGTTTTCTTGGTCGGTTTCCCAGATCGATTTTAGTGGTTTCCGATTGTTGTTTTCGGCTTCCATTTAGCGTCGGTTTTGCGATGGTGGCTGGGGCTGGGGTGTTTCAAGGTCGGCTTGGGTGCTGGAGATAGGCTGGAGATGCCGGTGGTGGGGATGGGATGTGGATTGGGGTCGCCGGTGGTGGGTGTTAGGATCGCCGGTTGTGGTGGTTGGGCTGGGTTAGGTTTTTTTTGTCTTTTTTTTTAATTTTTTTTTTCTGATTTATTCATTTAAACTAGTAGACAATTAACACGTGTTTTCAAGGGGTCCCACTAACAGATTCCATCCAAAAATCCGTTAAGTGGTGGTGAAATCAAATTTTTGGTTTTTTTTGTGGTGTTATAATAAAAGTTTTTTTTTCTTTTGTGATGCTATTATCACAATCGTGTCTTTTTTGTGGTGTTATTTTGCAAAATTTCCAAGTAAAAATAACAATTCTTAATATTGGCGGTGCCACAACATGACAGCTTTGTAAGCTCTCTGTCTGAAGTATTTGTATGTATAAAATAAATACTACCTCAGTTAAATATTAGTTGCAATTTTAAGGTATTATTTGTGAGATATAAAATATTCCAAAGTTGCAATTAATATTTAACGGAGGTAGTATGTTAATGACTTGATGAATAGCCATAATACATCCATAAAAATAGTCGTATAGCATAACAAATAAATTTCATAGCTAGGAAGTAGTAAATGGTTTTTTGACACTACATCATGCTCTTTATTGTTTCGTTGTCTCTTGTAGTACTCTTTCGATCTCAAAGAGTCTAATGATCCGACATATTCCATTTAATAATGATTGTAACAATTTATTAAGGTAACAAATATTTGGAAACCATGATATTCAGTATAGGAAATTAGAACAAGGAACTATAATTCCAAATTTAATGTTTATGAAATGCTACATCAAATTTCAGATTATGCAAATGTTAGTTATAGTTATGCTAGCATTGCTAGGTAATAAGTGAGCAACAAACAGTTATCTATCCATGGCATAGCACCATTTCCACAAGACTACAACGAACCCAACTTTCCCTCTTCTGCTCTCCTCCAGTCTTCATCTCCTCCCACCTTTCATGTTGCTTCTATTAGCTACTCTCTGTCGCGTTGTCTTTTGTATGCCTTCCAGGCAAAGCGGATGTTGGTTGCCAGTCTTCTTCCTCTTGTGCTGTAGTTGTAAGACAAGAAAGGAATGCAATAAACCGGAGTTACACTATAAACCACATTAGGTGTATGATCACGTTTGTTCTCCAGTTCTGATACAAGTTGTTGGGCCACATGCTAGACTTGCAACTAGAGGAAAGATAATTGAACACGAGTTAAATGAGAATCCATCTAAAATTTAATCATCTGGGTTTTCTGCTGTACAAAATGTCTTTGTATTACAAAGCCATGTTCGTTCATAAACAAACTCAAACATTATCCAAACCAATAGCTAGTTAGTTAGTCTTTTCATTTTCCTACTTTTCTTTAGCCAAACCTTTTCCGGATTTCCTATCATTTTTCTTTTCCTTCATCTACAATGTAATAAAATGGCCACTAATCTTGTTCTGATGCAAAGATAAGCAGATGAGGAAAAAAACCGAAAATTTACAAAACATATATATGTATGAAAAAAAAATAGCCTAAGCAGATATTATGTACATCAACTGAATATCTTTATTTTATGCTGCATCCATTTCTCCCAAACCCATGGAATTCAGAGATACTCATTGAAGTCTTCCATGGCAGTCTCAGAAAAAACCGAAAATATACACAACATTACCTAACATCTTTGTTTTACCTTTATACATTAACAACATTTCTAGCCATACTTTTTATACAAAGTGCATAGATGCAGCATTATCTTAACTTGTTTCCCTGATGTCTAAACTCGACGACCATCATCTGTTTGCTTCTACTGCTCAGGCATGTGACAGAGCATCCAGGATGGAATAAGGGTAGAGTTGTTGCTTCGCGTTGGCGGCTGTGCTTGTTCGTCTTCTATAGCACTTCTGCCTGTCCCTGGTCTGCATTTCAAGCATTAAACACATTCAGTTTATGGATAAAGAAGCAATCATATACCTGCGCAACATCATAATAATCGCGGTGGGAACACACATTAAGGACTTTTGAAATAGATCAAAATTTACATTGTAATTGATTAATAGCTCATTTAAAGATATAATTATCACTTCATCAAAATTATTTCCCTAAACTATTGCTTTAAAGTTCTATTATATCGTTCCCACTAGAGTTGTCACTGTCCTCAAAGGTCAACCAAACATTTTCCATCATATTCCTACACAAC